CTACCGAGTCGAGTCGGAAAAATTAAAGAGTTGTAAATAATTAGATTTCTAAAGATGCAAATCGAGGGTAATTATGGCTTTGAGATAGCTTAAGACTCACTTGACAACAACCTAATGTTCAATTTTAGGAGCATGCATGAACCGATATATTTTGTTAACAATATAGGCAACATCCAATCACGTCGAGTAGCATATTAAAGAGCCTCTACCACCTGCCTATACGGAGTAACATCTTTAAATGGTGTAGGAGAAGCTTGAATTAGCTTAGAATTTATAGGCATTAGAGTAGAGATTGGACGATAATGGATCATGCAATGTTTACTTAGTGAATCAATGATGCATTTTTGCTAAGATAGGACCAAACTATGCTTTACTTGAAGCACCTCAATACATAAAAAATGACCGATATTTCTAAGATCCCTCATAGCAAACTTGGAGTTCAAAGACCCAATTGCGGTACCGTACAAAGGAGTTACCATTTCTTGTAATAAAGATGTCATCTACATAGACCAACACAAAATAGTGTAGGATTTGAAGTTGTGGATAAATAGGGAGGTGCTCGTTTTAGATCCAATAAACCCATATTTCAATTAGAAATCATGGAGACAGGAGAACCAAGATCTTGGCAATTTTTTGAGGCCACAAAGGATTTGTGCAAATGACATGTGTGGTATGGATAATTGATGTCCACAAAACCGAGTTGATTATGACATGTAAATCGCTTCATGTAGCATTCCATTTAGGAATGCATTATAGACATCCAATTGTCAAATTGCCCGACCATAAGATACTTCAAATGTCAAAACATAGTGGATGGTTGTTGGTTCAACCATAGGACTCGAAAGTTTCACCATTATTAACCCCTTCTTATTTATGAAAACCTTTTGTAACTATTCTAGTCGTATACCTTTCAATTGAACCATCTACCTGTTTTTTAGTCTTAAATACCCATTTACTACCAATGGCATTCATAAATGGAGAAAAAAGAACCAAAGACTATGTACTTGTGTTGATAAGTCCGGATATCTTGGTCGACATCGATGTCCATAATGATAAGAATTCCTTGGTTTAATGTAGCAAGAAGATGCCTCGAGCATCGGCCATCGTAACATTACAAGAGAGCTATGTAATTGTGGTTTCTTTGTCATAAATTTGAGAACCATAGGATGAGTTCTTGGTGGGTCATGATATAGGAAAGTGGTGGGTTTGTTGGATATCTCATACCAACTTAAATCAAGAATGAGATTTAAGTTAGTGTTCGCCTTAAATTGCTTAGAATAGTGGTAGGAGAGAGGGTTGAGATTTAGGGTGAGTTAATAAGGGAATAGGTACATTTGTGGGTGAGCATTAGTGTAGGTTTGTTTGCACCTGGTGAAGAAAATAGAATAAAAGGTTTGTGTGATGAGCTTACGGGTCGTGTAAAGAGTGGGTTATTATACGAGCTTGGGTCATTTGGCGAGGTAGGGTCATTAGTCGTGAAGTTATGGGTTGGATGTATGTGGGTCGGCTAGTTGTCAAATGAGCCATTGGAAAAGGGCCACGGAGTTAAGAAGGCAAGTTGAGGACACAAGCTAGTGTTGGTTGGGTTAGGAGGATTAGATGTAGATCGTGTATGGGAAAAGGCCGATTATGTGCGGGATGACTTATTTGCATATGATGGTGGATTGGGAGCCGGTTCTATGTATGGGAGAAGAGATGGATAATGGGCCAAGTGAGCTACACCAAAGTGAGGGGATTGAGAACTTGGAAGCTAGACAAGAAGACTAGCACAAGGAGTGGAGTGAATTATGGATGGGGCGGAGACAATAGCAATATTTTTTTATGGAGAAAGCAATCATAAGGTGAGCAAAAAGTAGTATTTTTTTATTGTAACAAGTTTTTCTCTTGTCGATCCTTGATGGAGACTTCGATCTCAAGGATGTTTAAAAAACTTATATTATCTAAATCATTATCTTCACCCAAATAGATCTTACAACTTCTCCCACAACGGTGAATCTTTTCCATTGATAAACTCATCCCCTTAACCAACTTTTTTTGTTTCATAAAAGTTGTCTATGATACGACTATCAATAACCATCAACTCCTTCATCGAGCCATATAACTCGGTCGTAATACTTTTTAGAAAAATGGTACTCCGATTTTAGATTCAACAATCGGAAACTATTAATAAATATTAGTAATTATCACAACCAATCCAAATCTCTCTACAAGATGCTTTCAACATATTATACAAGGTCCGAGCATCGAGATTTCACACTTCCTCCATGCTAGATGGACTAAAAGATGAACCAGCTATAACTATCACCATTATTTGGTATGAATTTTGAAGTTTACTAGCGCTATCTTCGCCTATATTATAATTTTCGGGAGCAAAATGATTTCTAGAATCATAAGATGCCATGGATGACTAAAATTCTCCATGATGTATCCAATCATAATATCTTGGCATAAAATTCTTACATCATAAATGGTATTTTACCATTTCAACTCAAAATTTCTATTCCGACACTTACTACAATTACAAGGACATCTTATATTGGTTATGTTCAAACATTGAGAATGAGTAACAACAAATACAATAAATTATTCAACTCCTATCACAAATTCATCATTTAACAATCCATCAACTAACCTAACATTCATCCATTGCTATTTGGTTCTCGTTTTTTAATGTATGCAAAAATTACAACACATACAAAAATTCTTGAACAACATTCCTATAAAGTAGACATTTTTTTATTTCTAAATTATTTGATTAATAATTTTTCTAACCATCTAATAAAATTTCAAAAAGTCTCTCTTGTAAATTACACATTTCTCAATTAACAAATAATCCAAACAATTACACAAACATTATGCACACTAAGGCTAACAATTGTCTCGAATACTCTATCAAAATTAAATCTCAAACTTATAGTACTCGAATTAACTTTATTTGTCCTCAATTCACTAGATCTTGGACCCCTCACGTTCAATATGCTACGACATATCTCAACACACTTCAACAACCATAAAATAAAAAATTAAAGTATATAACTTCAATTCAAAGTAAATATAAAATAAATTCTATTTTAAATACACTTAACAAACAATTGAAAATTAACCTAATTACATTTAAAATAATTATTAATTAACCTAACAATAAAATTAAAATGTAACAAATTATTATTCTATAAGTTAATCTAAAGATTCTTTTATCTAAAAAAAAAATAGTCAAAGAAGTAACACATTACTACTATTGTGCTTAAGTTTTCTTTAACCTAATTTAATATTTTAGATAAAAACAAATAGTTCACTTACTGAAATATTACAACTATTATGTGTTGGTTATCTTTAATGTAATTTTATATTTTATAGAATTTTTTTTATTGATTTGATTGGTGATTATTTTTCAAAATATTATTAGGTCGTAATTTAAACCTAATTTAAATTAACCTAATTAATCAACTAACAATTAATTTAAATTAACCCTAATTAACTCTACTTTAAATTTAAATTAACATAATAAAATTCACCCTAATTAAATTAACTTAATTAATCAAATAATAAATATTTTAAATTGATCATTATTAACCATAATTTAAAATAAAATTAACATAATACAATTCACCCTAATTAAATAAACCTAATTACTCAACTAATAACTAATTTAAATTAATCCTAATTAACCCTATTTGAAATTAATCTAAGTCAATTAACACTAATTTGGATTAATTAATTAAATTAACAAAAAAACCTAACAACTAACAAAAGCAACAAATTAACTAAATAATCAAAACTAACCTAAAAATTAATACAAATAGCTAATGGATATTCAAAAAAAATAAAAAAGTAGTGAGAGAGAACAAAGGAAGAGGTAAAGGAGAAGATTAAATGGGTGAAACTCTTGGTTTTTTAGGAAGAGAAGAGCGTTGCGTAGGTTGAAAGATGCGAGGGAGGGAGTTGAGTCGCCTTGGGTGCTAGTTTTGGGGTCAGGCGATCGACGACGGTAAGAAGAGGAAAGGAGGAGAGGGAAAGAGGAAAAAGAAAATGAGAAAGAAGAAGAGTTTCGTCAATTTAAGGATTATGAATTAGCAACGGACACAATTCGTCACTAATCCATCGTTAACTAGTGAGGGATTTAAGTGTTCGTCGCTAATACGAATTTAAATCTGTTGTTTTATTTTCCGATCTTTTCGAAATGGGGCAAAGTAGTCGGTCCACGATGGAGTACTCAATTTCGTCGATAAGTAGTGAGGGATTTAAGATTTCGTCGCTAATTTGAATTCCAAGCAACCTCTTCATTTCTTGGGATATTCGAAATGGGAATTAGTGAAGGAAATGCTATTCCGTCGCTAATTTCTCTCACAAGCCAATCGCTATTTTGTTGCTAGATTAGGCACACTTTTTTCTTTGGGCTAGTTAGTAATAGAACTCTATCCGTCGCTAACTTTCCATCGGAATGCGATTGTAATTTCGTTTCTAAACATATTGGTCGTAATTCTATAACAAAACCACCATTAAATAGAGATGGTTTAGTGTCCATCGCTAATCCGTAGTTTTCTTGTAGTGTCTTTTTTGTTCATATTTTCACAATTTCTCGAACCGGCACTCGAATGCCATTTTTTTTTCAATTTGTTCTCTCTCTCTCTCTCTCTCTCTTCTTTCTTCCTTTTTTTTTTCATTTTCTTTTTTCTTTTTTTCATGCTTAGTGATTTTTTGAAATTACTAAAATAACAAAAAGTCACAAAAACTTTATCTAATTTTGACCAATTAATGTCAAATTTGTTTGGAATTTTTTATTTTTGAAAAACTCATAAAAATTAAGAGTTAAAATTGGATGCTAACATGCGTGATTCAGGACAAGGCTACTAGAAAAATTATCTAACCTGTTCCCACGTGAAGTTGCTGCACAAAATCGGAGATTTGTTACTAATGAGGAGGGCAGACTAGCGAACAAGTCGTTCAGAATGAGGGGCTGTATAATGTGCAAAAATTGCACCTAGTTTTCAACAACAAACATGTCAAAGCTGCTTCCAAAGAAGATTCAGCGAATGGAGATTCCCACAATGATGACAAATGAAGTAAAGCTACTTGTGCAAATCAGGTTGAAGCTGCCACGTAACGGAAAACTAAGCTCGAATCTGAAATCAGTACTGTTTATGCTGAAGCAGACGTGAAGGATCAAGGCTTGATAATCGAATGTACTACCTCCAAACACAATCAAAACATACTAGAGGTTGGTGATGCAAAGATAGTTGCAGCGCGTACATGAGAGGAGTTTGGTAGCTCAACCAGTGGACACTTTGCGAAGGAAGAGAACGAAGATCACGCTTCTGAAATCAATGAGAAAACAGCAGCAAAGTCTCCAACAGAACAAGCTCTATACGTAAAAGAGAACAAAGTTTCTTCGGCCGTCACCAACTTGTCTTTGACGCACCATTCAGAAATAAAAGCAGTGAAAACAGAAGCTATGAACGCAGACCCTTCTGAGCGTATGCCTTCAGATGAACCATGATATTTGATTATCTAAGATGCTGACAGAAATGGAGAATTACGGAACAAGCATGGTTTGAGGAATCATAAAACAAAGCTGAGACTTGTGCAGAAAATTCTACTATCAAAACCTATAGAATGGCATCGCTATTGCAACAAAGATTGAACCTTGAAGAATCAGTCTTCAAGCATGGACACAACACACCTGACGCTGCGAAAGAGAAGGGAAATAATTATGCAACAACATTGATATCTGACGTGGCTGGAAAGGAGAAACCAGAAGACATGAAAATTGTTGAACGGAAAGAAGTATCTGCTGGTCACACAGCAGTGCTGGACAGAAACGTTGTCTCAAAGAACTGCGATCTTGGAGAAGCAAGATTGAAAATAGACACACAAAGATGATCTTGCGAATGAGAGGAAAGTCTGGACTGGCTCATAGGCTTCTTAAGGTTGCAGCAAGGGGTTTGAACTCTCAAAGGAAAGGAATCGCTGTGATCATACACAAAATTTAGTAAGGATGCTAGGGTAGTACAATCCATGGGTGAAGTTGATTCAAGACAGTAAGGAGTTTTTCTTGGATGTGAACTCTACAAAACAGTTCCTATACACGTGAGAAAGGGCCTAGCTACAACATTTTTCCGAGACTTGAGTTCGAAGTGAAGTTAGTTCAAGTGCATTCAACATGTACTTAGAAGAAGATGGCCTAGATTATATGGGCTAGACTGACTTAATTGGACATCCATGTGATCGAGAGAAGCATGGATCAAAACTCGAGGTTGAGTTTACATCAATCCAGAGTGCCTAACATGGTAGTATAGCCCAAAATTCTCAACTAGGCCAAAAATTTTGACTCATGGTCATTTTGTTTTGCAAGTTGGGCCGCACATTCATTTAGGTCACCTTGTTTGAATTTTTAGGTTATCTTAATTCATTTAGTTCACCATGTTCTATTTAGGTTATATTAATTGATTTAGGTCACCTAGTTCTCAAGGTTTTGGTTGTTACAAAGGATCCTTATTCCTTTATGGTTCCATATTTAATTTCCATTAAGAAGTCTTTCAATACAAGAAAACCAAAGAATAACGACAAATTTTAGCAACAGAATAAAAATCATATCTAAATAGCAAGTAAATAAAAATCAAATAGTGTTTCTTTGATTTATTGACGGAACAAAGACAGTTTGATGATAGATAATCAACAACGAAATAATATTTTGTCGCTATTTGTGAGGCAAAAATCCTTTCGGATTTATTAGAGATAATTTAATAATAAAATTGCTATAGAAATTTGCGATGGATTTCTATGACATCGTTATTTGTAATGTTTTGATTGAGTGATGGATTATCTAAGAGCCGCCTATTTTATGATGAAATAGCGACAAAAACTTATTTTTCATCTTTAAATAGCGAGTACGTAGCACCAAGAGCGTTTCGTCGCTATTTGTAAAAAATAAGCACCCTTCGAGAATTAATTGGCTACCCATTTTACAAAGAATTAGCTATGAAAAATTATTTTTTATTCCTAAATAGTGACTAATAGCTATTAATTGGTTTTCTTGTATTTTTTCAATATAAGAAAACCAAAGAATAATGATAGATTTTAGCAACAAAATAAAAATCATCTCTAAATAGCGAGTAAATAGAAATCGAATAGTGTTTCTTTGATTTAGTGACGAACGAGAGACGAGTTAGATGATAGATAATTATTGACGAATAATATTTTACGCTATTTGTGACACAAAAATCTTTTCGCATTTATTAGAGACAGTTTAACAATAAATTGTTATAGAAATTTGCGACGGATTTCTATGACATCGTTATTTGTAATGTTTTGATTGAGCGATGGATTATCAAAAAGTTGCCTATTTTATGATGAAATAGCGACAAAAACTTATTTTTCGTTGCTAAATAGCGAGTACGTACCGCCGAGAGCGTTTCTATTGCTATTTGTAAAAAATAAGCACCCTTCATGAATTAATTGGTCGCCCATTTTATAAAGAATTAGCTATGAAAAATTATTTTTTATTCCTAAATAGTGACTAATAGCGATGAAAATATTTTTGTCGCTAGTTGTTAAAAAAAGTCGCCTTCCGAAATTAATTGGCCACCCACTTTATGAAGGATTAGCGACGAATGGACATAAGAGTCCGTCGCTAGTCTCAATTCCTAATTTAATCCCCCTTTCTTTCTTCTTCTCCTATTTCTTCCCTCCAGCCTATATCTCCAACCACCAACGGCTCCTCCACTCCAAAGCCATCGGATACCTACGGACTCCACTCTCTATCAATCCACACCCACCCCAAACTCCGTTCTCCCTAAAAATCCATCATTTTTTCTTCCTTCCTCTTCTTCTCTTCAAGTCCAAATTATACGTAAATCTCTCTCTCTCTCTCTCTCTCTCGTTAATTCTTGGTTATTTTCATAATTATTAGGTTAATTTTAAATTTAATTGGTTAATTTATAATTGCGTATAGTTTTAATTGTTAATTTTTTTTATTAATTTGTTAAATTTTTATTTTTTATTTTTTGTTAATTGTTAGATTGATTTGTTAATTAATTATTATTTTATTTATATTTAATTAATTAATTAGGTTAATTTTTTTAATTATTTTATTTGATTTAGGTTTAACTAATTAATTAGGTTAATTTTGATTAGTTGCTTGATTTTTAATTTATTTATATTAGAAATTATTAATTAATTGTTCGTTAAAGTTAATTAGTTTTGAATTAGGGTTATTTTTATTCATGTTTAAATTAATTAGGTTAATTTGATTTAGGTTTAATTAATTAATAAGGTTAAATTTTATTAATTAATTGATTTTTAACTTTATTTATACTGAAAATTAATAATTAATTTTTAGTTAAATTTAATTAGGTTTGAATTAGGTTTAAATTAATTGGTTTTGAATTAGAATTAATTAGATTAATTTGATTTAGGTATAATTAATTAATTAGGTTAAATTTGATTAATTGGCTAGTTTTTAATTTTATTTATATTAGAAATCATTAATTAATTATTCTTTAACCGTAATTAGGTTTTAATTAGGTTTAAATTAATTAGGTTTCAAATAGAATTAATTAGGTCGATTTGATTTAGTTTTAATTAATTAATTACGTAAATTTTGATTAATTTGTTGACTTTTAATATTATTTATATTACAAATTTTTAATTAATTGGTAGTTAAATTTAATGAGGTATGAATTAGGGTTAGTTTGATTTAGGTTTAAATTTAATTTAGTTAGAATTAGAATTAATATTTAGGCTACTTTGATTTAGGTTTAATTAATGAATGAATTAATTAGGCTAATTTTGATTAATTGGTTATTTTTAATTTTATTTGTATTATAAATTATTAATTAATTATTAGTCAAATTTAATTAGGTTTGAATTTGAGCTAATTTGATGTTTGTGTATACAATTATTGAAGTGTGCTAAAATACGTCATAGTATATCGAACCCGAGAATTCAAAGAACCCCAAAATTTGAGGAGAAATAAGGCTAGTTTAAGGCTCGAGATAGAGTTGAAAGGATGAGTTTAAGATTTAATTTTGATAAAGTATCCAAGGCAAGTATCGGTCTCAATGTGGGTAAATTTATTATTGGTTGATTTAATTTTAGTGTATGTATATTCATTTAAAGTATCTCGCTAATTGAAAAAAAATGCAATTTACAAGAAAGATCGTCAAATTTTTGTTAGATATTTAGAAAAATTATTAATTAAATAAATGTGCATTGTCTCGGAAATGCGAAACAAAATAAAGAGGTTGATCATGTATAGATGTATGTTATGTGTATTGATGGGGGTATTTAAATGATGATTTTGTGAACGGAGTTGAAGAATTTTTTACGTTTGCAGCCTACTCATCTTGAATGTATGGACATAAGATAGTTAAGGTGTCCTTGTAATCGATATAAGTGTTAGAACTAAAATTTTAAACAGAGTTAAGACGAGTTAAATACAATTTAGCTACATATGATTTTATGCCTGGATATTATGATTGGATACACCATGAAGAAATTGACTCGAGAAGTTATTTTGTATCGGAATATTTTCATGACGGCTAAAGGAGTTATGGTGAACCCCCTAATCCATATCAAACAATAGTGATGGATATAGCCAGTCCATCATTTAATTAGTCTAGCACAAACAAGGTGTCAAATCCCGACAATCGAGCTTTTAAGGCATGCCAACTATAATGAATAAAGTAGTGTATATTAAAAGATTTAATTACGAGTATAGATTAGAGTGACTATTGCGAGATATTGACCAATATTCCATAATTGGAGTGTCATGCACTACCGATCAAAAGAATAATAGTGTTTAAATGAAATTTGTTTTCCTACATCAAATGAAACAAGGGTTCATCCGTAATATATACTAACGAGAGGTAAATTATAGAAGGATATTCAATAGATACGAACCTTTTTTTCTAGCAACTTTAGTATATTATATTGTGTATCCTAGCTTGAAGGGCGATCATCGGGAATGGTAAGCTATTTGTAAGAAAAAAGCTAAGGCTATAGCTGATATGCCAAAATCATCTATTGGAGCCCAACAAAATGCAAAAGCTGTTTCATGATGACGAGTCAAAAATCCAATACAATTTAATGTAGGTAGATGATGAGGAGCAATTGTTAAATGATCTAAATGTATTGTTTTTAGATATAGAAGTAATTGATGCTAATGAAGAAGATGACGGTGAATATGTATTAGAGTCGGCTAGGGAGAGGAAAACTTAAAAGATAACTACAACAATAAAAATTAAAGATCAATTTTATTTGTTATATCTATTAAATTATATCGTTTTATCTATTAAGTATTTTTTAGATGTTTATTATGCATTTTGAATGCGTTGAATTTCATGCATGGTATTTTCAATAATAAGAGAATATTTAATTTACGGGGAAGATTATGCAAAATTTTTATGAAAATAATTTATAATATACTTTCAATCGAATTGTTATTCATTTGTTGTATTTGTTAAACTATTTTAGATATTATTCTATAATTATGCATATGGATTGGGTAGATCGAGTTACGATACCGGTGGTCATGGCTTTGATGGTAATAAGGTACATAGATATAGCACTCGCTAGTGTAAGTGTCTAGACTGTGGACTAGAAAGTGATGCTAACACGTTGGCATCCCCTCATGTTGGCATACCGCTTTACCCACTATTAGTTTCCTCAATAGTAATGCCCTCGTTGATAGTGTCCCCACTGCAAATCTCCCCACGAGTGGTTTCTTCGACTCCGGAAAGCTCTACGGGATTGACTCTAGACGGACCATTCGAGTCTTGAATAATTGATAAGTAATATAATTTAAATATGATAATTAGTTTTATATTTTTATATATTATATTGAAATCATCAATTCAATTATTAATTATTTATTTATTTTG